ACGTGGAACCCATCCACGCCTTCCGGGCTCACAGGTAGGGAGGTGCCCCCAAAGGCAAGCCCACCCCTGGCCCGCTCAGTGACATCCCCAGGGCTGACGGCAGGAGGTGGGGTAGTTGGAGGGGTCTAAGTCCATGGGACCTTCTGCACGTGGCCCCTTGCTCCTGGTGCTCTGCAAACACTCAGCGCCCCCTTTCCGCCGGTTGTCAGCATAACCTTCGGAGGAGGAAACAGATATGGGGGTTGGGGCAAAGGCAGGGGACCGGCAGCTTGCCTGGGTGGTGTAACGGGACCCCCAGATGCCGAGCTCTTTTCGGTTATCCTTGAAAAATGCCAGTAGAGAAAGAACTGCACGGTCCCCGGGGAGGGGCCGGTACTGAGTGTTTCGTCGCACCCCCCTTTGCATCCTCCAGGGGCCCCGTGCTGGCAGTAGCCATGGGCAGCAACAGTGAATACTGTTACAGTGGTGGGGCGGATGCCCGCATCTACAGCTGGAAGATTCCAGACCTCAACATGGACCCCTACGATGGTTACGGTGAGAGAGCCTCCTCGCCAGGCCTCCCTTCCCCCTACCTGTCATCCGCGGGGGCCTCCTCGTTCCCTCAGCACCTGTAGCACCCGCCATGCCCAACACTGCAGGTACTTGGGGGGACACCAGGGATGCTCAGCCTGGGTGCGCATGGAACAGCGTGACTCAGCTTGTGACTGAGGGTCGGACGAGATAAGCTGATGGTCGAGCTGGCTCAGAATCGGCGTTGGGGCGGGGGCCGCACGCGCGAAGGTGGGCCCTGTGCGGACGGGTGACGTTAGCTGGGCACATGTGGAGGGAGTTTGTGCTTCGTCCTTGGGGCATCTTCAGGAGTTGAGCAGAGAAGTGACCAGACTGTTCTCTCTGTTCATTGTCTGTCCCCCTACTCTCTGATGCTTCTTTCGATAACCCTATCGATCACACACGTGGCTTTGTGCCGCATCCTGTCAGGGCAAAGTTTAGAGGTCTGTGTTCCCCTCAAGGGACATAATGTCATTTTCCCGAGGACAGTGTCACCCCGTGAAAGGTCAGGCAGGGGTCAGGCCCCGGCAGTATGAACTCCGGGCCAAACAAGCTGCCACACGCTGGGTGTCAGCAGGGCCCAGCCAGAGCCCCCTTTGTGGACTCGAGCGACCGACCGGGGAGGCAGCGGTGGGAGTGGCCTTTGGAGAGACTGGGCTGGTGCACATGGGCAGAAAAGACTGCAGGGAGCAAGCACAGGGCTGGCCCGCGGGGCGCAAGCTGCGGGCTGCAGGGGGCCTCGGGCCAGGGCCGCTGCCGCTCTCCTGACGTACGTCCTAAAAGTCACGTGTTGGACGCCCATGCTGTGCCAGGCTCTACTGCAGGCCCTGGGGGTGGCAGGGAACAGAGGGCCGTCCCCACCCTCTGGAGCTCTAAGCTGGGCTTTCCTCAGAGGCCTGAGATCTTGCAGAGGGGCCAGTGGTCAGAGTGGGAGCGGCTGCCAGGGCAGGTTGCACTGGTGACAGCTCTGAGTCTTGGGTGTGAAATGGGTGAATGGGTGGCCAGCTGTGCAGAATGGGGCTGGCGTCCCTGACTCAGTCCCTCTCCTCTCTTCGGGGCGTCCAGACCCGAGCGTGCTGAGCCACGTCCTGGAGGGCCACGGGGACGCCGTGTGGGGCCTGGCCTTCAGTCCCACCTCCCAGCGCCTGGCCTCCTGCTCCGCCGATGGCACTGTTCGCATCTGGGACCCCAGCAGCAGCAGCCCCACTTGTCTCTGTACCTTCCCCACAGCCAGCGGTGAGTGAGAGGACAGGGGTAACGGGGACCCCAACACCTCGCATGGAGCCAGATAGAGCGAGAGGCGCGAGAGGCGCGTGACCCCTGCGCGCCAGTGCCAGGTGGGACCAGCCCTTCACGCGGCCTTCCCTCCTCCCTCAGATCATGGGGTCCCCACCTCAGTGGCCTTCACCAGCACCGAGCCTGCCCACATCGTGGCTTCCTCCCGCTCTGGCGACACCATCCTGTATGACCTGGAAGCTGGCAGTGCCCTCCTCACCCTGGAGTCCCGGGGAAGCAGCGGTAAGGGGGCCCTGGGGCAGGGGTCTGCATTCCTTCACGTTCTCCTGTGGCTTTGGTGACTCGAGGCTCAGTCGGCCGCAGAGGGCTTCTCACCGCCTCAGGGGCTGTGAGCGGGAAGGAGATCAGGTCCCATCTGCTGCCCTTAGGGACAACACGGTCTCAGCAGGGCTGAGGGGAGGGAGTGTGTCAGGGACTCTCCTCTCAGCCCCCTGGGCGGTGTGGACGGCCCTCGCAATGTCTGTCACCCTTCCCACTGCAAAGCAGGCCCTGTGCCCACTGTACTGACGAGGCAGTGCGGCCAGAGCAGGGTGCGCTGGGCGCCCAGCTCTCCCAACACCGAGGCCGATGCGGGGCCGCGGGGGGTTGTTCTGCTGCTCGCACCTCCTTCCTGGTCCCAATTTCTCCCCGACAACGTCCTTGCCTCTCCCCGCTTTTTCATCTAGGCCCAACCCAGATCAACCAGGTGGTGAGTCATCCGAACCAGCCCCTCACTATCACCGCCCATGACGACAGAGGCATCCGCTTCCTGGACAACCGGACAGGTGAGGCTCAGCCAGCCCTCCCTGCTCCCCGACTCACCTGTGCTTGTGGGAGGCGGGGGTGGGCCAGGCTCAGGTGCTGAACCCCGGTGCCCTCACCTCCCCGGGCAAGTCACGGTGTGGGACTGTGCCCTGCTGCTCCTCTCTCCCTTCAGGGAAATGCGTGCACTCCATGGTCGCCCACCTCGATGCAGTCACCTGCCTGGCCGTGGTGTCAGGAAGTAAGTTGGGACCCTCCTGGCTTCTCAGGAGCAAGGGCAGGTGCCTTCGCTATCAGGGCTGGGCCCAGGCCCCGAGGGAGTGCTGCGGGGACCCCTGAGTCAGGGGAGCTGGCGGGAGAGCTGTCCTAGTAGGGGATGGATGGGGAGCCTCAGTGGCAGGACGCAAGGTGGTCACAGCGGTGACAGCAAAGCACTGCTCTGAGAGCCCACTGCAGCTGCTTTCCCGCTATCCCCGTTGTACAGACGTGGAAACTGAGGCTCAGAGAAGTTTTATAACTTCAGCACAGTGCAGCGGGTACGGACATTGAAGTTCCGGTCTGTCTCACTCAGTCCGCACGAGCTTGTCTGGCATTTGGTGGCACCCCACTCTCTGTGGTTAAGGGCACTGCGGCCCAGCAACCCTGGGGCTGTGCTTCAAAGGGATGGGGTGGGACTTGGGCAGATGGAGAAGGGGCTGAAGCTCCTTAGAGGGTGACGGGTGTGTGCTGGTGGCGAGGGAGACCTGACAGGAAGGAGCCTGCTGTGGCGGAGGGACTGCCGCTCACTTCGGATCCCGCGTGGGGTGACCTCAAGTGAGCAAGTGAGTGAGTGCGTAGACGTGCAAGCTGTGGGGGTGTGGGAGTCCTGGACCCGTCTCATCCTCCTCTCATCTGCCCCACGATGGGAGCAGTGGTCTCCGAGGAGATGGGCGAGGGGGTGGCCAGTGAGATCTAGCCCAGGCGGAGAGGATTCAGTAGAGGGCACAGGTCTCCCCTGAAAGGGACAGAAAAAGAGTTGGCCTCCACCTCAGGCAGCCTGATACCCCTAACATAAGTCAGGCCATCTCTCTCCCATGGCTCATGGCCCCCAGGACCCAGCCCATTCTGTTCTCTGACCTCTTCCCCACACCCTGCGTGGGCCGGTGGGTGCTGCCACCCTGCCTCCTGTCAGCCCTCTCGCCTTTCCCTAGCCGCCTGGAAGGCTCTTCTCCGGTCCCCTCTGGGCCATTCTGTCCTTACACTGACTTGTGCCCGTCGCACTCCTGACCACCTGGCAGTGCTGATCCTGTTTTCTCATTACCGCAGCGTCAACACCACGGGTGGGGAGGTTTGATCGTTCACTGTGCCCCAGGGCCCAGTACAGATGTTCAGTAAATACTGGGTGGCTAGATGGATTGATGACAGGCAGGGACGTCAGGAGGTGACCAGGCAGAGGTGGGCAAGGGGAGGACTGAGTCCCCACCCAACTGCGAGGCCTTTGGAGAGGCCAGCTGCGGGTTTCAGGGCTGGTCCGAGCGAGCAGCCAGGGAGCCGCCGCCAGTGACAGCCCGTCCTGCTCCCACACCTGCGCAGGCCACGACTGCTCCCTTCGTCTGTGGAGCCTGGACAACAAAACGTGCGTGCAGGAGATCACGGCCCACCGCAAGAAGCACGAGGAGGCCATCCATGCTGTCGCCTGCCACCCCACCAAGGCCCTCGTCGCCAGTGCGGGTGCCGACGCCCTGGCCAAGGTCTTCGTATGATGCCCACCTGGCCCCGCCCTGGCCGGGGAGCGGGGCTGGGCAGGTGGGACTGAGGTGAGGGGCTGGGCAGAAATCCCGTTTGTCCTCGCCCACAGCGAGGCCCTCGAAGGTACCAGGTCCTGCAGTCGGGGCACCTGTATGTCCCCTGGGCATTCAGGGGAGGGGCTGAGGCCCAGAGGGACCCAGAGCTGCCTTACCTCCTGTGCCCTGGAGGTCATGGGTCATTCTCCCTGCCCTTGTTTCCCACAGGTGACTCCCAGCCTTGGTCTGCAGGCCCAGAGGCCTGGCCTCTCCCGCCCGCCCTGGAGCCTGGTGGTGCTAACGTTGCTTCCTCGGAGGCCCCCACCCCCTGCCCTCCCCCGGCATCCAGCCTGGGGCGGCGCCTCCTTCAGGAATTGCCCTCCAGGATGGCCTCCAGGAGTCTCCTTTCTGCCCTGACACCCACTCCTGGTCTCTGAGCGGCCTTCTGGGGGCAGCACAGCCAGGGCTGGGTGTCCTTGGGGATCAGCTTTTCCAAGACGCCAGAAGGTGCCAGGTTCTCTCTGAACCCCCAACCCCACCTCTCCATCTTCCCAGACCTGGGTGGGGACCGTGCGAGGGGAACGCCAGACGCCCCCGTTCTGGTTTGCCAGGCTGTCTTCAGTGGGAGTGCCAGGCCTGGCCGTCCCCTCCAGCTCCCTCAGCGCAGCTTTCCAGACACTGCCCATCACCTCCAGGGCCAGTGACTGCCTGAGAGCAGGTGACGCCCTCTGGGAGGCGCCTGCCCCTACCTCCCCAACACTCCTCTAATGGCAGCCCTCCACCTCCCACGGGGCCACCCACAGGCAGAGATGGCCTCTTGCTCCTCCCTGGGGCGTGGGAGGTGGAGTAGGGCCCCCCGCCCCCCCGCCCCGGGTCCCCTGCAACTCCCTGTATATCTGTATAAA